GTACAGAAAATCAATTTCAGGAAGCAAAAGCGACTAGAGTTTCCAGCTTGAAAATCTTTTCGATCGTTACGGATATTTTATTATTGCCTTCGAGTCCTAAGAGACACACACTTGTACTTCTACAGTGCAGATAAGCACACAAACGCATACACACATATATCAAAAAAAAACAGTGTATCAGACTACCTGTGCATCTCCAACAGCTTGAGCCAAACGACCCAGCGCTTCCGCAGCCGCACACCTAAAAGCATCACGCTGAGCAACGTCTAATGAGATAATGTTAAATGAACGGCGAGACGAGGCTCACCGGGCGATACGATAATGCACTGGGAACGAAAAACAGGAATAAAATGAATTGAGAGGTGTATTACTAGGGAATTTCTGAAACACACTGACAATTTACGTTTCCCGCTCGCATTTCTCGCTACAGATGACTGATATGAAAATTGCTGGAATAAAGGGATCAGACTGAGAGACATCAATATCGCATGAACGTCTTACCTTATCAACGGATTTGCATGGGAAAGCGATGGGATGATCAGACTGATGCTTGCTTTTTGAAGTGCTTCACCTTCCAAACGCATACCTTTTTGTTCGAAAACCGCTCTGAATGATACAAGCAAACAGCCGAAGATATTTTTTTGTATCTGAAATAAACACACACGGAAACGCAAAGTAAAACAAAAAAAAAGTGCAGGAAAAGTTACCGCTTGCTGCCTTGCAGCATTTTTGGTTCCGCGAATACACTCCGCAAAATGTTCAGCCATTTGTAGCCGGTGTTTGATAGGAACCAATGGATATATTCGGCCGTACATGCTTATTGCAGCATCAATCACTTCTACTGTATGACTCAGTGGTTCAGGCCACCAGAGCACATCGTCCGTTGCAACCCTAAATATGATCAACCAGAAGAAATAGGATATCATCAGGTATCAGAAACTAGGGAGGCTTGCTAATAAACTAGGGGGCATCGCAAATTCAGGATTTGTGCAACATCGAATTATTAAAAAAAAAAAAATGTGAAGCAGTAGGTTACTTCAGGCTTTCGCGCTACATCGCATAAATGCTAGACATTTTCTCTGGCTTTAGTAATAAAAAACTAAATTTCAAAACAAGGAGTCAACAGTAAAAATATTGGGGTTTATGAAAATTATCCGAGTTGCTTGCAGTTTCCGAAAATTCAAGTACCTTTTGCCTTAAAGCTAATTTTTGCTTGAATTTTTTGCAACATATGAATTTCTTTAAATCAGCAACATGATTTTAAACCTACTTCACAAGACAGATAGGATCGTTATCAATAGAGCCGCAAACCGAACACTGCGACGGATGCATCTGAAGCAAGAAAAAAGCGTTAGCAACCAATACTTAAATAAAACCTTGCGTGAAAGCGTGGTAACGAATTATTAGCGTAATTCGGTTGCAGAGTTGGGTTCGCTAATGTAAAATATGCTTTCCTTATTATAAAATTATATAATATCTTTTTTTCTTTTTTCCTCCTTCTACCCTATGACAGTTTTCTGCATTTTCCTCTTTCCTCTTTTTTTTACACCCGTAAAAACCTTATTATACATTCGTCCCCTTTATCCCATTGACTCCTATTTTGGAATGCGCTTGCATTCCCAGCCGTTTTACTTCCTTACTTTTCCTTTCATTTCCTTTTTTTGACCCCCTTAAAAACCCTTATTTCCATTTCCCCTTTTCACATTTTCACATTTTCAACCCCTCCAAAATAAACCATCACATCCTCTTTTGGAGCGGTTCCTACACCCTTTACAAACCTCCCCACCATTCTTCATGGTCTCAGTTGACTCCTTCACCACGACGGCTCTCAGTCTTCTCAACGCGCTCCTCAAGGACTCGATCTCGTCTGATATACTCCTGGCTCTCATCAACCATGCTCTGCTATAACGACTCTTGCTCGGCAAGCTCACAGTCCCGATAGATTATAAGCGCCACACTTCGTGCTGTTTATTTGCTGTTTACACGACTTATTATCAGTAAGTCATAAACTTGATTTTGCTTCTCTACAGTGCGCGTACGTTCAGAGCACCACTCCACACAGCGATCCACACACGTAAACACTTATCTCATAAAAATTTTTACTCTAAGATTGACTGCACGCGCAGTCTTATTATAAGATAATCGCAAAACAATACATAGTCTTCAAAAAAGCGTTCTAAAAATCACCTGCTGAAACTCATATCCTAAAACAATTGGTGAAGCACATCAGGCTTCCTACTGCAGTCATGCATTTTTGCACGCTTTAATGCAACAGCGAGATCAGGAGCTTGCACTGTTTTTACGACTTGAAACATACATTAGTGCTGAATAAGTTCTTGTTGGTTGCTTATTCCATTTCACGCAGAAATTCATCGCCTGAGCCGATGACGGCACAATGGTTGAGGTTTTGTGGAATTCCTGCCTTCGAGCGTGTGGTACTACAGTGAGAAGTCGTCGACAAT